ATATATACAGAGAGGTAGAAAAGTGTTAGTACGAACAATCAGGTTTAGTAGTAATTGTCTGAACGCGACTCTGTTTCGGGCTGCCTCTGACTCGACTGATTGACTCGCTCTGAATGACTGACGGACTCCTGAGAGACTTCACTCCAGACTTCAGACTGAACTCTAGACTTCAGACGGAACTCTCTCCAGACTTCAGACGGAACGGTATTTAGTCACCCTTCCACGAGGGCATCATGTGGCACAAGGCCGGTTTAACGTGGGATCTCCGAGCCCGTGGACTCGACCAAAAATATACCCATTGAACCAGTATACACGGGTTCAGGGTCGGTTTACCTCCCCGAAAGAGACTCCGCCCTTTGCCGAAGCCACGTTCGGGTTCCTCCCCGCCCGAAAGCAGAGAGTTCAACCGATCAGCCGGTCGTTAGACTTCAGAACGAACTCCCTGCTTCCTCTTGAAGCGCAGTATTTATTACGTATGGAATTGTCCATTATGTTATTATGGGTAAGCTCCCATAGCAGATACCAAGTTGAGAGCCGATGTCATCAGAAATGTTGTTGAAAATTAAACAAGGTAGGATCAAGGATAAATTCCTGAGAGACGCCTGCATGAGTACAAAAGGATTTAGAAGAGTGGCCGTTCAAGACAACTTTCATTTCACGATTTGATAAGAAAAACTGGATCAGTTCAAAAATTTATCCGAAGACATAACTTGTGAAGAAGCTATGTCAAACCTTGTCAAACGCTTTCGAGATGTCCAGAGCAACATCCGGGGCTTCGCTATTCTTGTCTAAAGCCTGACAGACTCATTTCACATTAATCTTTAATACATCAGCAGTTGATCTAGAGAAATGAAAGAAAAATTGCCTGTTTGAAAGGAGACCCTGCGCTGCGAGATATTTATCTAATTCAGTATTAATTAGGTCCTCAAGCAATTTTCCAAAAAGAAATAGACGGCTATTATGATGATAGTGGCAAGAGTCGCACTGCTCACCTGAAATCTTAAAGACTGCAACAAATCGTTAACCTTGCAAAAGGGGTCAAAACACTATGAAAGTATAAAAATAGATTTTAATACCAGCAATACATTTTTGGAAAGAACTATTACCAGCAATATATTTTTTTTTGAATTATTACCACCAATACATTTTTTTAAAAAAATATTTCGAGAAATACATTATTACTAGCAGTACATTTAAAAAAAAAATTACCAGCAATACATTTTTAAGAAAATATTATTACCAGCAATACATTATTACCAGCAGTACATTTTTGAAAAACATTATACCAGCAATACATTTTAAAGAAAAAATTATTACCAACAAGGCATTATTACCAGCAGTACATTTTTAAAAAAAAAATATTACTAGCTATACATTGTTAAGAAAAAATATTACCAGCAATGCATTATTACCAGCAGTACATTTTTGAAAAAAAATATTACCATCAATAAATTTTTCAGAAAAATTATTATCAGCAATACTTTATAAACCAGCAGTACATTTTTGAAAAAAAATATTACCAGAAAAACATTGGAGGATTTTCAGAATGCAGGAATGCAAGAGATAGCGAGGCTTTTATTATACAGTTTAAAGAGGCCAGGGGTCAATTCGGGAGCATAATTCTTAAGGATTATTACAGGGAGGCCATCCGGTCCACATGCTTTGTGAGGCATCCAGATTAGAGATGGTAGCAGAAACCGTGAAAAGGGTTATATGCATATCACTCAACAGGACTTGGTTCTAAGTGAAACGTTAGGCAAGGGTTCTCCAAATGAGTCAAGGTTAGAGTTTAAGGAGTATTTACTGACAAAGCATTCAGCATTATCAGCAAAGGATGTTAACACTTGGAATTGGTTGAAGAGAGGAGGAATGGAAAACTTACTCTTATTTAATATACTTTGACACAGCCACCAGTAATCACGAGAGTCAAAGTTTTTAGATATGTTGCCCAATTCTTCCAGCAAAATCTTAGCTCCTTCGAGGATACATTTACATTTATTACGTGCAGACATGAACAGGCATCTGTTGTAATAGGAACTGTGACGCTGGTATAGCCGGAACTAGTGATTCCTGTGGGATATAGCGGCAGAAAATGCTGGTGTAAATCATGGAGAAGATTCTGGTTTCACATGGTCTTTCCGAGAAGTTTTAAAAGTATCTATGTTGGTTTTGACCCAAGAAGAAAACTCACTGCCGCAATCATCAAAAGGATGTTTAAAAATATCTATCCAAGGAGCGTCTCGAAGAAAGTTACGAAGTGATTCCTAATCAGCATAAAGCTAACGAAAAGAGGACTTATAAATAGGAGTTTTCTGTCTAATAGATGATTGAAACGAAATGTTTGACAGATATTAGCCCGGTGTTAGTCACCTCGGATTTCCGGAAATGGAGTCTCTCCCTGACGTGTGCCATTTCAACAACATCGGAGTTACAACTGCGACTCACTGTGCGCTACACACCCTCATTGAGTCAATAGAGTAGTGTGATAAATAAATTGGTTACTAACTAAGAATTACTAGTATAGCGTATTCACGGGAGTTAGGAACCAGAACCAGTCGCGAATAGTTAGAATACGCGAATACTTGTCACCCACTTAAAAAAGGCTTATAAGTACTTATTTTGATTGTTAAAAACCATATGTCTACAAACTTACATCTTAAACATTTTAGAAACATTTCATACCCATTTTAAAACATTTTTGAAAAATAGTATTAGTAAATTTCCTTTCATACGTACAAGAACCGTTTTTAATTACGCAAAGATCGATACAACCATTGAAAATACTGTATAAAATAGGTGTAACAAGACATAAAATATAAAGTTTAAAACATTTTCTAGAAACAGAACTGTGATGATTCCCCCAGTCTTAGCATAAGCCACTTTTAAAACTCCAGCCGCAGACCCTAATAATGAAGAAAGCCCAAGCACTACGCATGTTTTTGCATTTGTTTTTTATACTGAAGATGTACAATTCTGCCAATTATTGCCATAAAAATCGAGGGTTGTATGTTTTAAGTCACTTAAATAACAGCAAAATAATACAAGAATATTTAAAATATGTCCTATCGCAAAAATACGCGAACCGAGGGAGTTCTCAGCGAATAATTTGTACATATGTTCTAAAGAAAAGCATGCGAATATTCTAGGTTTCCGCGAATAACAAGTACATATGTTCTAAAAAAAAACCCGCGAACTCGTGAGGCCGCAAATATTGAATTGCGAAAAGGCGGCGGATCACTGTAAATAATTCAATAAAAATCAAATTTAAATATCGAACAGAGTGAAAGGCTTAAGAAACAATTTATTTATTAAAAGTTTAACTTTTATTTCGCTTTTCGTCGCAGTTGCAATTGACATCACCTAATTAAACGGTAAATAAAACTTAATTGGGGCACAGTATTGCTGACCATACACATGGCGTAAATTTTCTTTCATACGTACAATAAACGTTTTTAATTACGCATAGATCAATACAGCCATTGAAAATACTGTATAAAATATGTGTATAAAGACATAAAATATAAAGTTTAAAACATTTTCTAGAAACAGAACTGTGACGATGCCCCCAGTTTTAGCATAAGCCACTTTTAAAACCCCGACCGCAGACCCTAATAATGAAGAAAGCCCAAGAACTACGCATGTTTTTTCATTTGTTTTTTTACAAATGAAGATGTACAATTCTACAAGTTTTACCATAAAAATGAACTGTTATATGATTTAAGTCGCTTAAATAGCATGAAGATAATACAGGAATATTTTAAATATGTTCTATCGAAAAAATACTCGTATCGAGGGAATTCTTAGCGAATAATTTGTACATATGTTCTAAATAAAAACATGCGAATATTCGGGATTTCCGCAAATAATAAGTACATATACATATTCTCAAAGAAATCCGCGAATGCGTGAAGCCGCGAATGCTAAAACGCGGGTAGGCGGGGGCTCACTGTACATTAAAAAGTTTAAAGTAAAAGAAAACAGCATGTGACTTATGTAGGTTTAAGCTGTTAATAACTTTTTATTTCCCTTCTTTATTTTACCTCGTCAGAAATTTTATAATGTTATTTCTAAGCCCAGGACAGTGTTGTCTTGACTGATGTGAATGTAAACATATTATTTCAATGTCTTATTTAAAACTCAGCCATTTTTTTTTTATCCCTGGTCCCTCTCGCATACAACGTGACACAAGGTCGAAGTTTAAAATTGAGTTTTGTATCCATACAAGAATAACTTTAGTCTCTTCGACCCTTCCCCTTCTGGTGACGCCTTAGGTGCTGGCTAATGATGCCATCACCATCCCGAAGGAGAGCTAATGCCTGATAGGGACGTCCACTGATACTCGTGATAAATATTCATTTGAAACCTTCTGGTCTGGGTAAGCCATCCAAAAACATGACTAAGATTTTTGGAGGACTTCATGGCCGAGACACAAACTTCACAGTTTCGCCTTCATTTCACACGATGTGTTGCCACGTATTCATCCACCCCACTGCAAATACCCATGACTATATACGCCGACCACGGGATTAGAACGAATGTCTCACTTCTTACATACAGGGCAAACGTGATCATAGATACACTTATAAACTGATTGACTGAAGAATCGATCGGTGATCAGACAGAAAAGAAATTATAGATGACAAATGTATTAATTTTTCTTCGTCGATAATGATTGACCAAAATGGCGGGAGAAATATATATTTTTTTTATCACACGCCAACATTGGCATTGTTTCCTTTTGTCTTGCTGCTCGCTTTGTATTCAACTCCAAAAATCGATAAATCTATACACGGCTCATTAAGCTGAATATTTGATTAGATTAAAAATAATTTTTTGAGGAATTTTCTTATTCCATGGCATTCCTTTCTCTCGCGAAGAATGAAGATGTTCCATTTTTGGTTACAGTGATGAACAGATATATATATATATATATATATATATATATATATATATATATAGAGAGAGAGAGAGAGAGAGGTCTAAAGAAAGAAAGAAATTTGTTAAGAAGAAAAATTTATAAATGAATTAAATGTGAAGGCGGAAAAAGAACGAATTGGAAAATGATAGATACGAACAGACTGATAGATAGATAGATAGATAGATAGATAGATAGATAGATAGATAGATAGATAGATAGATAGATAGATACGACCAGACTGATATAGCTCGCTAGGGATATTTTCAATTTATATATATATATATATATATATATATATAAAGAAAAATGTTATAAATGAATTAAAATTTGAAGGCCGAAAAAGAACGAATTGAAAAAAGATAGATAGATACGAACAAACTTCGATAGATAGAAGATAGATAGATAGATAGATAGATAGATAGATAGATAGATAGATAGAGAGAGAGAGAGAGAGAAAGAGAGAGAGATACGAACAGACTGATATAGCTAGATAGATAGATAGATACCTACAAACTTAGATAGATAGATAGAGATTTTTATTTATATATATATATATATATATATATATATATATATATATATATATATATATATATATATATATGAATAGGAAGTACGCCAGTTGATGTTGACATCAGTATTTGTTTTGTTCTGGATATGGACCTCTTTTACCCCAATAACCTTAAAACGTTAAAATTCTGTAACACACACGCACACACGCACACACACACACACACAAACACACACACACACACACACACATATATATATATATATATATTTGGGGATATCACTATTTAAAATAGACGACATGTTTTCATTTTAAACAATTGTAGCAATAAAAATGTCTAATTAAAAATAATTCCATTAATTCTTTAGAAATTGCTTTGTTTACGTTTCGGATATGAAACACAGTCGATATGAGGCTTCCGAGAAAAGTCTGAACGAGGAAGTGTGGATGCATTATGGCCTCTCGACAAAATAATTTGTGTGAAGTGGGTGTGCTTTCCTTAAATAGGGTAAAAGTAGCCCTGCTCGACTGTGATGGTTTTCATAGCCGAGTGAAAATGCAGGCTTGATTTAATGTTGGTTTCGCCTACAAAGGTGGATGCAGGTATAAGTATGCTCTATTTTAAAAACTTTCAAAAAAATCTTTTTATTACACATAAAAATAACAGCACATGTTTTTCTTAGAAAGAGGAAATAGAGCCTTGTTTAATGTGATATTTTCCATGGCTGTGCGGAAAACAGGCTGGATCAAATGCTAGTTTCTCCTATAAAGGGGGGCACTGTCTCAATAATAGTTTGGCAAATGGAAAACGTTTCATTGAAACTAGATTTGATTATGCGTTTCGCTTTTCAAAGCTTCATCGGATCCAAAAACGAAAGAAAGAAACTTTTTTGTTATTGGAAAAAATAAGACAATCCCAGTAACACAAATGAACTAGGCAAGACGCCTTAAATAAATAACAGAAAGTGAGTCACAGGAAGTCCGTTGGATTCACTCGAGGAAAATTTCTAATAAGGTCACGGCGAGTTGCGTAGAGAGGTATATAACCGTTGATAGTGAGTCATAACAGTGACGACGAGGGATCAAAACACATACGGAGTAGAAAAAAGTATTTTCTTGAGTCGATGAACCTGATAACAATGATGACGAGCAATTAGAACTACATTGGTTTCATTTTTTTTTTTTTTTTTTTTTTGGTGTAAAATATAAACAGATATTGTTTTTTAAATATGGGAGAATTATTAATCCAAGTGGTAAAAATACAACAACAGCAATAGCAACAACAGCAGTTGCTGGACATCTAGAAACAACAACAAAATTTAATTGAAATAATACCGAAGTAAATAGAAAATTTCCTAATTTCTTTCACTCCCAATTCGGTGTCAAATGCCATAGCTGAATTGACATACAATTCAGATGATGAAATTACCTTTTCATCTTATTTTAGAAGATGCTATCAATTTTTCAAAGGAGAATGCAGCGACTAGGAAGAAAAGAAAAAACAAGACTTTGGTTGAGAAAATTAGCACAGGTAGAACATAAAAAATACTGTAGTTTCGTACTACAAAAACAAAACAGGAGAAATTTGCTTTGAAGAAACAGTAAATATTCTAACTAAAATTTTTAGCGAGAAAAGTTCGTTATTCAATACTCGCTGGAAGTGTATGAATCTAACGAAAAAAGACGACGAAGCTTTTGTCATATATGCTGGAATCGATGACAAGGAGTGTGTACGATTCAAATTAAATGAATTGACTCCGGAGATGCTTAAAGGACTGGTTTTCGTTCATGGGTTAACGGCGAAGAAGGACGCAGAAATATGTACTAAAATTCTAACGAAACGTGAAGAGATTAAAAAAAAAAACTAATATTACAAGAAATATCAGACAAAAGCCAGAAAATCTTAAATCTGAGATGTGAACAGAAGAAATTGGAGAAAAAGAATGCGCATACATAAAAGCTAAAGAAAAATGGGGGTGGGGAAGAAAAATTAATCCATGTTACAGATGCGGAAGGTTACATCTCAGAGACGTCTCACCCTTTAAGAATTCAAAATGCTACAAGTCGGAAAAATAGGACATAAAAAGTCACTCTGTAAAACTAAATCAAGGAAAAGTTCTAATTGAAAAATCTTACATAGCGTTGCGACGGAAAGTTAATTACAGAAAACAAAAAACTGTGTATGTGAAAAACAACAATATGGATGTAAAAATGCATCTAGACACTGGTAGTGGTATCACAATAATCAACGGAGACACATAGAAAGCAAAGGGAAAGCCTACTTGAAAAAGAACTTTGAAAATCGTACGTGGCGTGTCGGGTAAGAAATTATTTTTAATTCGTAAAATGATTTGTAACGTTTCATTTCGTAATAAGTGTGTAAAAGCTGAGGTTTGTGTGCTAAAAATACTACAAAATTACTGACTGGATGGAATTATCTGAATTGTGTGAATTATCTATAAATATTTCTTGTAGAAATGTTAATGGGCAAGCTAAAAAAAAAAAAGGTGTGAAAATTAAAACGAAGAATTGAAAAATTGTTTTTTTTTTCCTGGGTGTTTTGTTGGGTCGGTATTACAATGACAAAGCGAAATTTCAAATGAAAAAAATGTCGACACCAATTTTTAAACCGAAGCGTAGTGAACCATTCGCAGTATTAGATCAAGTTAACAAAGAATTAGACAGATTTGAAAAAATAACATAACAGTGAACTTTTGTACACGAACTGTTAGATATGGCATTCCAGAGGCCATAGTCTCGGATAAGGGTAAACAATTCTTTAAATTTCTGAATGTTCAGAGTTAATAACTATAAATACACACAAGGGATTGTATAATTTCATATATATATATATATATATATATATATATATATATATATATATATATATATATATATAAAAAAGGCTCAAACACTGATATTCCATTATTGTAATTTATTACATTGGAATCGTAATCATTATCCAATTCATCAGACCTACAAATTCAAAAAGAAATCGAAAAATATTCATGCTCTGTCCTGGGCATTGGGTTCTACCTGGATTCTATCCTCTTGGGAATTTATGCATATATATATATATAATGACAATAAGAAAACTGTAGTTATTGCTGACGCGTTTCGTCCAATGTGGACTTTCTCAAAGCAAAAAAACGAAATGAATTTAATTAAAGAAAGTAACTAATAATAACAAAAAACAGAATGTGCTTAGCAACTGGGGGAATGTAGAGAACGCTATTTTTATATTTTTAACTAAAAATAACGTCAGTTATTGTCACGTGTGAAGAATATTGTCATTATAGCTGTGTTGACGGATTCAACCATTTTCGTTTGATTTTACGATATTGTTGTGTAAGTTTGTTTGGGAGAGCAGTAATTTTGTTAAGAAAGGTGAAATAGGCAAAAAGCCTGGACGTAGATTAATATTTGGGTAATATTCTATGGCGACACTTTCTATAATTTTCCTTCTGAGTGAGTTATTTTCGTTTTTATAAGTGTAGCATTTTTAAAATCAAAATTATGGTTGAATTTCTATGCATGATTAGTGCATTAGCTAAGTTGTTTTTTGAGAGGTCTCTTTTGTGCTCATAAATGCGATTTTTTTAAAATTACTACTTGTTCTCCAATATATGGGAGGAACAGTTTTGGCAATTTATTTTATAGTTTTTATTTATTTATTTTTACAGATTTCCTATTGTCATTTATATTTAAAAATATTGTCTTTTCTACAGGTTAACTTTGAGAAATTTTCATTCATATATATATATATATATATATATATATATATATATATATATATATATATATAACAAAATGATTCTACAACACGATAGAATTTGAAAGAAAAAGAAAAATATTTCTATCTATATCCTGCTTCAATACAGAAATGAAGACAAACTAAAAAAATGAGTAACATTCATTATTCTTCTTCTTTGTGCCCTACTTTCTAACACAAGTTCCTTCCCTCCATCTTTGATTCTACTTTCACTTTCACTTTCATTTTCCATTTTCAGTATTGATTAGATGGCCAGGAGTCACTATCACGCTCATGCTTACATAAAGATTTATATTTCGCCGTCGTTTTCTTTTCCTCATTGCCTTCACGATCCGACCTCATGCATCCGACATGATCCTGACACCGTTTATAATACGAGTTCCGTCAAGCGAAATTTCGATAGGAATTACAATAGAAAAAGGTATGTCGGGAGAAGGACCTGAGGATACGAATCAGACCATCTGAATTGATTGTAATTGAAGCTGTTGAAGCGTCCCTGCCTGATCTGCTCAAACAGGATGTTCTTTAGTGTTCATCGCTATCTCATGCATCCACCATTCGTTAATATTACAGCGATGATCGGCGCGGCAAACCAATACTGACAGGAAAGTGTCCAGGTATTTTCAAATACTCTATACGTTCGCTATAAAATTTACTAATGTTGACTTCACACACACACACACACACACGCGCATATTCTTTAAGAATTTAAATGCAACGCCAATCACTATTTCCTGTCTTCCTGAAATCCGTTCTTTTATTGTACTTTCTTTTCATTTTCCTCACTAAAGTCTCCTCATTCTCTTTTACAACCAGTAATCCCTTGCGTCTTATTGACATTATCGCCTTGCTTGAGGTGAAATGATTAACATATATATATATATATATATATATATATATATATATATATATATATATATATATATATATACGTTAGAATAGACTACCCACAATGCATCACGGAGCCGTTATAAATAGTCAAGAAAAAAATACAACGCATGCGGTCTGACGATTGCGTTTAGCATGAAACAGTCTCTCATGTATTTACTGCAATGTTCACTATATATATATATATATATATATATATATATATATATATATATATATATATATATATATATATATATATTGGTTCTGGCAAGCCTTCACCACTATAATCACATGAAATATACCTGTAGTTTGGCCATTGGTTCTAAGAACTGAGCTGCATGACTCTCATACGT